ACAAAAAAAAACTTTCTCAAAAACCTGGTGCGAGCGGCAAGGGTAAGAGAAAGAGCATGGAGGTCGAAGAGGGAGTTGAAGCAAGTATAAATTTCACGCAAATTGAACAATATCAGCAACCTCGAGCGGAACAAGAACCCGTTGTCGGGGCCGAAGAAATTCGAAATAGGAGAAAAAATTTGTAAGCTTTGGAATTATTATTATTATTATTCCTTTTAATTTAATAATGCATATTCTTTTACATTATCACAGGACTGTGCAGGAAAGGATTGGTTTATGAAATTCTTGTGACGTTAATTTTTATTATTTATAAAGCGGAATTCATAAATTTACAATTTTTGAAGAAAGTTTCCTTTATTGTTGAAAATGTCAATTTTATGTTTTTACCTATTCTTTTTTTTCGCTATCGTCAAATTCTACCAAGACTTCATCTGCAGCTACGGCGTCACCTGGTTTAACATTTATCTTTTTCACCTTACCAACACGCGTCGCGCGTAATACATTTTGCATTTTCATGGCTTCTACCACGGCAATTTCAGCACCCTCGCTGACCTGAAATTATAAAAATAAAACAATGTAGCGCCATTACCTACATTCATCTTACAAAACTATTCAACGAACTTACCAAATCTCCAACTTTAACTCCCAAGCTTACAACACTACCTGGCATTGGACTTAAAATCGATTTGGATAGATCTGGTTTCGGTTTTTCAATCATATATTTGCTCAATTCATGTTGCCTTTCATTGTGGACTGTGACTTGAAATTTCGATCCAAGGTATTGAAGCCAGAAACCAAGTGGTAAAGCGTCCAAATATTGTGCGGTTATGGATTTACTCTCACAATCGACACCTTGGATATATACGTTTATTAATGGTGATTCTAACAACCATTGAGCCGATATTATACTTTCATGACCGTTCTCTGTTATAACCTTTGATACAAAAAGTTGTTTTAAATTACCGTTAATAAAAAATAAAATTTTTTTCAACCGAGCTTTACCTGAAATTCATCTTCATTATTCTGACCCTTTCCCTTTTTCTCTATCTTTACGTTAACTGGTGGGAGTTCCTTATTGAAAGTCACGTAAAGATTCCATTTGTTTGGCACCTTCTCATTCAGGTCCCCCTTAAATAACGCTTCTTTTCCGGTACCCCAATTCCAATTTCTTAAATCCCTTTTGGCATGAACTAATGCGGCGATGGAAACCAGTTCATGTAATGATTGTTCATCGAGTTTAACTCCTTGAAACCCTTCCGGATACTCTTCTGCGAGGAACTTTGTGGATATCTTGCCAGAACCAAATCTTTTACTCCCAATCACATCACGTAATAGTGGGATGTTATGTGTGACTCCTAAAGAAAAATGTTCCGAGTATAAAAATGGGTTACATTTCAATTACTAGGTCCGAATGAAAGTCGATACCTTTAATAACATAAGAGTCCAAGGCCCTCAACATTACTTGAATCGCTTCATCTCTTGTTTCGCCGTAGGTGGAAAGTTTACAAATTAGAGGATCATAATATATACTGATTTCACTCCCTTCGACAATTCCAGAATCACAGCGAACCTCCTTTTTATCAGTTTGACTAACTGGTTCTATGTATCTGCTCAGATTCCCAGTTGATGGCAGGTATTTCTTAGGATCCTCAGCGTACACACGTGATTCTATGGCCCATCCATTGATCTTGAGATCGTCCTGAGTGAAAGCTAATTTTTGATTGGCTGCTATACGAATCATTTGTTCAACTAAATCTAATCCTGTGATATATTCTGTGATTGGATGTTCGACTTGTAGACGTGTGTTCATTTCCAGAAAATAGAAGTTAAGCTGAGAATCTACTAAAAATTCGACTGTCCCGGCGGATACGTAACCGACATGCTTAGCTAAGGCTACGGCTTGTTCACCCATGGCTTTACGTGTAGGTGGGTCCAGATGCACACTTGGCGCTTCTTCAATGACCTATATGACAAAAATCACGGAAAATAAATGAAGAGGAACAATCTTACAACATTGAAATGACATGAACACCGTTTTGACCTTCTGATTTCTTCTCTGAATTGAACATTCTCGTTCAGGGAGGTACAATACATTCCCAAATTTATCGGCGATAAGCTGAATTTCGATGTGACGCGGATTATCAATATATTTTTCGATCAGTATACGGTCGTCACCGAAACTTGACAGTGATTCTTGAGATGCGATCTTAAAGCCATCAATGACTTCTTGATCATTCCTTATTTTACGAAGTAAATTTTTTTAGTTCGGTAAAGAGAATTTTGAATTAACATAATCGAACTCACCATGCAATGCGCATACCCTTACCACCACCTCCCGCGGAAGCTTTCAGCATAACAGGATATCCGATTGATTTGGCTAAACAATATTTAGTATAAATAGCTTGAATATTTGTGTATCAATAAAGGTTAAAAATCAATATGCAATATATACCGATTTCCAATGCGTGATCAGTGTCCTTGATGACTCCGTCGTAACCGGGAATGGTGTTAACACCAGAAGTCTTGGCAATAATCTTGCTTTGAATCTTGTCACCTAAGTCTGCCATTGCTGATTCGCCAGGTCCTATAAAAGTCACGCCTGCCTCGTCCAATGCTTTCACGAATGTCGAATTTTCTGATAGAAATCCATAACCTGCACACGCGTTTAAGTATTTCATACAAAATTAAATTCAAAGTGCCATCATTTTATTTCAGACACAAATTGTACCTGGATGTACGGCTTGTGCACCAGTTGATTTTATCGCTTCGAGGATATTTGGGATGCTGAGATAACTTTGATTTGTAGGTGGAGGTCCCTAAAAACAGTGTTTATTTATTTTATATTATTTATTTTCAAATTACGTCAATTACACTGAATGAAATCACGCTTCAATTCCCTTACCACGTTGAAGGCCTCATCGGCCATTTGGACGTGCAAACTCCGTGCATCCGCGTCCGAATAAATGGCAACTGTTTTAATACCCATCTTTTTAGCGGTACGGATAACACGACAGGCAATTTCTCCGCGATTGGCAATCAAAATTTTGTCAAAGGTCTATTGGAATTCAAGGTATCCATAATAATGTTATTCACGTTCTAAGGACAATTTATTCGCAACATTGAAGAGCTATTGTTCAAATAAAGAAACTTTCTTTTTCATTATAATCCCTTGGACGAAGTTCTTGTGTATTCGCGTAATGTGTTGTAAGTGAAGAATGCAAACATCGGGCTAATTGAATTATCGAAGGGCGATAAAATTTTGAATGACTTCGAACATAATTCAAATTATTAGTCAGAAGAGACTCGACTCGTTTATTAAAAATTCGATTAGCCATGGTGTATAATGTGCAAAAACGAAAGGGTTTCGACTTGATATCGGGCAGATAGCGTTTTTCTCTTGCTGCTGCCTTTTCTGTCTGCAGTTCGAACTCCTATCAGCTGAGAAAAATGGGTTAAAAGTTCGCGCAGTGCATTATCGTACGATTCGTACAAACGCCAATTATATAATTTGCGTTAGACATAGACAATCAATCATCCGACCACGTGTTAATCCAAATTTAAAGTTATGTTCAAACATCGAATCCTTTTTTGACAGTGACTTTAAATTCCAATTGCTTTTCCCCTATTATTTCTTTCCGAATTCCGAGAACTATCATGTACAAGGCGGTTCGTTTTACGCGTAATGCTGGCTATTCTTTGAGAAAAAATATACCTTTTCTTGCACGAGTTTCGCATGCTATTCCCGAAACTCGGCAATTAGTTGGTAGAATTACACCGTTATCTGTGTCGACTCAAATTCGTGATTATGCCTCTGGACACACCAAGGAAGAGGTATTCGAGTCAAGAGATTGTTGCTTGAATTAGCGTTTTCGAAAATTACAAAAACATTCTCTGTGCACATTGTGGCTTCCCTAAATTCCGAAAATTTATTGTTTTTTAGCAAATTCTAGCGCGGATTCAACAGTTGCGGGAAAAAGCTCATTTGGGAGGCGGATTGCAAAGAATTGATACACAACATAAAAAGGTGTGGTCCTATTTTGGAACAAAAAACTTTACGGAAAAACTTATCCGACCTTTTATTGTACCAGGGAAAATTGACCGCAAGAGAGCGTATCGATCTACTCTTGGACCCTGACACGTTTAACGAATATGATACTTTTGTAGAACATCAGTGTACCGATTTTGGCATGGAAAAAAATAAGGCAAGCTAAGAATCATCATCAAATTATCGAATAAGTAAGTATGGTGCATGGTTTCTTAGCATTTATACGATGAAATTTTCCGCGACATAAATAGATTATAGGTGATGGTGTGGTAACGGGACATGGCACAATAAATGGTCGTCGGGTTTTCGTTTTTTCCCAGGATTTCACTGCTTTTGGCGGAAGTTTATCGAAAATGCACGCGCAAAAGATATGTAAAATAATGGACATGGCTGTGAGAGTCGGCGTTCCCATCATAGGTTTAAATGATTCTGGTGGCGCCCGTATCCAGGAAGGTGTGGATTCACTTGGTGGATACGCGGATATATTTGAGAGAAACGTTTTGTCATCCGGTGTCATACCTCAATTATCTTTGATTATGGGCCCATGCGCTGGTGAATAACTTTTTAACGCGTCTTCTGCAAAGTTTTACCGTTTGATAAATAGATAACAATGCTTTCTTGGAAATTAGGTGGTGCCGTGTATTCACCAGCTCTCACTGACTTTACGTTCATGGTCCGTGACACATCATACTTATTCGTTACGGGTCCTGACGTTGTCAAGGCAGTATGCAATGAAGACGTGACACAAGAAGAACTTGGTGGAGCAAGAGCACATACCGTTATGTCTGGTGTGTAGCTTGACTTTGCTGTCTTTGGTAGTGCTGCCTTTTTTCTTAAATAATAAGTGATTTCACGCTGCTTTTTTTCTTTGGTAAAGGGGTTGCACATTGTGCCTTTGAAAATGACATCGAGATACTTCAACGGTAATTATTTTAATCCCATTTCATTTTACTCTTCATCACACCGATACCAACCGTTTCCAACCTCCGTATTTCATCTAATAGTACTCGTGACTTTTTCGATTTCCTCCCGCTTTCGAACCGGGAACAAGCCCCAGTTCGCTATTCTGATGATCCGCCAAATCGCGAGGATGAAGCGCTAAATCATATTATTCCGGCTGATTCCACAAAAGCATACGACATACGCGACATAATTACGCGCCTCGTGGATGACGGAAATTTCTTTGAAATTATGCCAGATTATGCAAAAAACATTGTCATTGGTTATTCTCGGATGGGTGGTCAAACCGTCGCCGTTATTGGCAATCAGCCGATGGTGTCTTCCGGTGTGCTGGATATCAATGCTTCTGTGAAAGCTGCTAGATTTGTGAGGTTCAGTGATGCTTTCAACATCCCTCTTATCACGTTAGTTGATGTACCCGGATTTCTTCCCGGTACCGCTCAAGAACACAATGGTATCATTCGTCATGGCGCAAAGTTGCTTTATGCATATGCCGAGGTAATACCAATATGATACGATGTACCTAGCACCTGCAAATATCTCAACTAAATTCTCTTGTTCCAAGGCTACCGTTCCGAAAATTACCGTGATCACCAGAAAGGCTTATGGCGGTGCATATGATGTCATGTCAAGCAAGCATCTCCGCGGTGACGTATGTAGTCATTGGTATATTCGCTCGTGTTGAGAATGAGATTAGGTAATATCTTATTGCTTCTCTTAGATTAACTACGCGTGGCCTACGGGCGAAATTGCTGTTATGGGCGCAAAGGTATAAAAAATATATTTTTATATTCATTAATGTTTTTGTCTCGGTCACTAAACCATCCTTGGAAAACAGGGTGCCGTAGAAATCATCTTTAGACACGTTGCCGATCGAACCCAAGCAGAAAAGGAGTATATCGGTAAGATAGAAATTTATTAATGGTGTGCTCATTTCTTAAAATACTCATTGTGCATGTTTACATCATCTAGAGAAGTTTGCTAATCCGATACCCGCCGCACAGAGAGGGTACGTATTAAAAATTTGAATTCGTTAAAATTATACTTCATATGCATCTTTCAATCATTAGATTTCTGGATGACATTATTCTGCCGGCCGTGACGCGGAAAAGAATTATTGAGGATTTGGAGGTGCTTAAATCAAAGGAACTGCCCATAATATATAAGAAGCACGACAATTGTCCGTTATAAATTGTGAGCCAATGTTATTATTTGATTCAATTTTTTTATAATTCGTTTTTGAAATCTTGGAAAATAAAGTTACATTTATAAACAGACCGTTGAAGTTTGACCATGGTCACTTATCTTAAAAGAATATTTAACTATGTATTGATAAATATTTTTAAAAAAATTTAGCACACAATAATAATAAATTTTAAAATCTCTATTTATTTATTATTGCAAAATGTAAAACGATGTTTTAATATAACAATTTTTAAATATTTCGAAATATTTCATTAATATAAATTGAATAATCCTATTGATATAATAACTTATTTTGTTATTATGATTTTTATATTTAATAATACTAATAAAAAAATTTTTTTAAAAAAAAAAAGTTAAAATAATTTTTCACATATTTATTTATATTATTTGAATAATATTCAATATATTTTGTAAGTATTGAATATACAGTATAATGAATTAAACATGAATCTCAAAAATAAATTTTTTATTTTTAATCTAAATTATTTAAGTTAATATAAAAAAGATTATATAATTATATTATATAAGTAAATAAGTCAAGGTTATTTTAAATAAAATAATATATAAATATATAAAAAATATTAGTTGTTTTTTTTTTTTGTTTTTAAATTATAATAAAAATTTGATATATAATATGGATCAAAATAATTGAACAATACATCAATTTTTTTTTTTTTTTTATAGTGGAACGTGCACACGGTGCATGATCTTTATTGATACGTTTATATATCCAGACAGACACCAAGTGTCTCTACAAATTTAACCAGAAATCGGTTGGTACAGGATACCCTTTTATGTCTCTACAGTTAATCTGCAGATTAACACTGCCTAGTGCATATATGTTACTATAAGACTAGCTACGCTAACCACTATTACCCAACTATGCGTCCATTTAAACACCACGGGGATGTGTCCACATGTCAAGCGGGACTTTCGCAGGGGGGGGAATCCTACCACTAGTTTAAACCCACCTACAACCTGCTGGTCCATTATTGCAGGGAGCAAGTTATTATGGAATATTATTATAGAGACTAACCCCAGTATTCCAGTCACTGTTATCGCTGATCCTCGGAAGGTGCCACTAGCGTAGCGTCGCACTATCGTTTATAAATAGAAAATATTATTATTGAAATATTTGTCAATTGTATATAATACAAAATTTAAAATTTAAAAACTATTTCAATAGAACAAATAGTTTCAATTATTATTATTAATGGTTGTAAGTGTATAATTGTAAATTTTATAAAACTTATTAGAATTGAATATTTTAGTAGTTATACAGTATATTTTTTATTGGCCAACGCATATACACGGCCGCCCTGGTGTACATATTCGTTTTATCAAGTCAGAAATGTAAACAAGAATAAATTTTGATGATGCTAGTTTAAAATTTATTATTAAAATTAATAAAAAAATTTCAAGAAATAATAGTTCGTGTTTAAAAAAAAAAAAAGAAACCATCGAAGAATTGATTAAAACAACCGATGTCATATTCTTCGATCAGTCAACTCGCATTGAATATTAATATAGAAAACAAGTAAATAACTTAAACAACACGTCATGAAGCAGTAATATACGGAATATATGTTACAGTATTGTCCAATCATTTTTCCTGGGAAAAATCGAAATAATATTTCCTCGTGTAACCATCGGCGCTTTCGGTAACCGTCCATAGAATGTCATAATGCATAGATTTTATTGCCAAACGAAGAGTTACACAAACTGCCAAATATCAGCAGCAACAAATTTTGAAATTTTGGCTTCTAAAGTGTTTATAAACCTAGATGGAAAGAAAAAAAAAGAAAATCGAACGAGTCAGCAAGAATCATTTACTCCACCTCGAAACACAAATGGACAGACCTGTGCAGTTAATATGATGTGTAAAATGGTCTGAACGACGTCGAGTACCAAGAATATGCCAGTGAAAACTCCGGCAACGTAATACCCGCGTTCAAATAACTTCACGGCTCCCAGCGTGCCACTACTACCATCATTTACAAATCCGATACCGATGAATAAGCCAAAAATAATTACAATTGCTTCACCAAGGAAATAGTATCGAAACATCATTTCGCTATTCATCCTTTTATTTTATTATTCGAAAATATAAAGTTTGTGTTAAAAGATATATATATATGTGTGTGTGTGTGTTTGCATTTTTTTTTAAAAAATAAATTTAGTTTTCATACTTACTTGTAACCATAATAAAGACTCATGTGTCGTAAAAAAAAATCGCCGATTGGCATCAGAAATAAGTACAAAGCCGAGGCAATGATTTGGGAGACAATCTGGGCCCCGCTTAGGTACGTGATCGAAATTGCTATATCAGCGATCGAGTTAGCGAGTAGAGTTACGAAATAGACTTTCGAGAGTAGGTTGCGGGGAGAGGTGTGTTGTGCGTTAAAAATGTCATGAACGGACAAAGGCAAAAAAAAAAAGATAGAAACGCAGTTTTCAATAAACAGGTTGACTCAAAGAAATTTTTGTTGATAACGAAATACATCGTGGGCTCACATTTAAAAAGAAAATATGATCTTCTTAGTTTCTTTTTAAAATCCTCATTTGTGAAATCAGCTTCAATGTTGTGATAAACGATGGGATAACATTTTGGCCTGTTGATCGTAGAAAATAATTATTCAAATGAGTTCGGCACAATTCGAGCGTAAATTTAATCATACCAGTTGCTGGGAGGCGGGGGAGGTGGTAACATAGCGTTATCAATGAGGATAACCGTGTAACCGGATTGCGATGATGGTCGACTTGTCATCTTGTATTTTATTTGGGTTTATCGTTAAGTTTCGTTGAAAAGGTCTGGGTGGATTTTCGATTTGACAGATTCCTTTTATCTCAAATCTCTGTGATGAACTGGACTTTGATCTATCGGAAAATCGCTAGATAAATTCTTAACTTTTCATCTCAAGGCTATCACAAAACTTTAATAGATAAAGCGAGCCAGAGTAACCTACATTACGTTAAACCTAACGAACAAGCGTCTCGTTTCAGCAATATTAAGTTTTAAATTTTTTTAATTCCAAAGCCATTTATACGCCCTTATATAAAAGCAGATCACAATCACACATGTGGAATTTCTTGACTTTATCAAGGCTTTAACTCGGTTCATATTAATTTTCTCTAAGCCACGTTCGTTTAAACATAGCCCCACACGAAATTACTGTCACGTGACTTTACCACTTGTATTATTATTATTATTAATTTTTAAATGAAAAAAAATCGGATTGTTCCAAGTATCTAGATGAATCTAAGGTTTCTATGTATCACTTTATAGTATACATCTTATAATCATGCTTAATGACCTTGATAAACATTTTCAAACCGTTCCGATGTTGCTCGATGTACCTTTCGGCATCACCGCTACACCCTCCTAGTAACATGATCTCTTTCAACTTTGGATGTAGCTCCAGTTTCATTATGTGTTCGACATCTAGCGGTTCAAAGGGAGTGATAAAAAGCTCTTCAAGATTTCGCAAGGAAAAAATTATCTGAACGAGTTTCTATGTGATAATTGATGGAAATAGCGTGAGGAGAATTTAAATAAGAGATAAATATTGAGCAGACATCGTACTTACATCTGGAAGCAATTCATTAATCGTACATCTGATCACCAATTTCCTCAGTTGGGGATAATTGCATGCCAATTGACCCAACAATTTTCCATCGAAATGATCAAAATTACGGTTGGATGTAATGTTTTTTTCCGAACCCCTATATGACGGATCCCTCAACTTCAAGACCTGCAGATTCCCGGGCCCGTGAGAACTCAAGGAACATCCTAACGATGCGAGGGTTTGCTGAGAAAAGCCTCCCGTTAATTTTACAAGTTTTCTGCAGTTCTTTGCGATCATCATCAACGACTCCCTAGTGACTTCCGGGCATTGATCTATGTTCAATTTTGATAATCTTGAACAATGTCTCGCTATTTTTGCCAAACCGATGTCATTCAGTCCAGATCGGAGTACGCGAAGTTGCCGCAACCTCGTGTTTCGATATTGCGCCAACGCCTTGTAAGAAAGAACAGTCAGACGACTGCACCACTTGAGTTGAATTGATTCCAAGTTACTACAATGTTTGACTATGGATATGAATGAGTCGTCGGTCAAACCATCACATAGTGATAATTCTAGATGCTGAAGGTAATGTTGATTTTGAATCCAGGTTAAGGCAAATGGGGGAAATTTATCATTTCCAATGGAAAGCTGAAAGGAGTCCAACAGGGGGAACTTTTTTCCGATTTCCACCAGCTCGGTATCATTCTTTTGATCTTGGATATCTTTGTCCAGTGTTAGATGCAAACCTTTTAGCTTTTGAAATCCTCTTATCAGTATGAGCAATGCAGAACTCGTTACAGAGTGACACCTGAAATACTTGAGATTGGGAAATGACTTGACTAACATCAAGGCGATTTCCTCGGTGACAAGAAGATGAGCGTACAGTGATATAATTCCACCACAATTTCCGGCCACCCTTTCTAACAGAGCACAAGTTTCACCTGATTCGTGAACCCAATTTTTCACTTCGAGGTGCCTCAGATTTTTACAATGTCCACTCATCGCGGGACCCAGCGCCTTCGCAAGCCATTCCATGGTACAATCTGGGCAAGATATGGAAGCCAAATTCGGGGAATTAACAAGAAACTTGCAGAACGTGTATGAATCGAAGGGATCCATCATCCAACCGACACGAAGCTTTGTCAGGCATTTGCATCTGTCGGCGATGAATCGAATATCTTTTCGAGTGAATAACGGGTGAGGACGGTACGGGAGCGGGACAAAATTTAGATGACGAACCATCTCGGCATAAGGAAAGAAAGGAGATGAGGATCGTAGGGTTTTCAAAAATTTCTGATATGAACTTGGAGATTTCCACACGGGTTCCTTCCATAGTTTTCTTATCAGGATCTTTATTTCAAGGAAATTTATCACTCATTTTTCGCAAATATCAGAAGAGCAAAGTTCACGGGGATGAATTTCATACCTGAGTCCACACAGGATGAACCAGTAAAGAAATAAACATATCATCTTGTCTCTTAAAATTGTCAAAAATTATATGTAATAAGTCCGTGTCGAGTAGAGCTAATCGAGATATTTCAGACATTGTTTTTTCTTGAGAATAGCCGATTACCGAAAGTGGGAGAGACAAAATAAAGATGCAAAAGATGAGGTACTAATCATACCCCATGCATTTAATAAAAATTTAAATTTTCAAGTAGACATCAGACCTTATTTGGAAAATTTTCTTTGTCGAATGCATTGTTTACTTTTCGACACGTTTATGAGAGCTCATTCTACTATGTGGTCCAGGATCATGATCATCAAAAAGCCTGTAATTGTATGAATATGAGATTTAAAATCCAGACTACCGCATGTACGTAATGATCAAAGACTAGCTTGAAAAGAACGCCGAGAATCGACCATAAATGAGGTTGAAAAAAGTGTGATTGATTTGGTTTTGGTTAGCTAAAAAAAAAAAAAAAAAAAAAAACCGGTTCTTTAATTAACCACGTGACATACGGTAAAAGACAATTTTACCCATTTACCGGGCGTTCGATGTCATTATTCTGCTTAGCTTTTAACATTACTATTATAATTAGAACATACAGTATACAGTATATGTGAAGTATTGTGTGGATTTACTCGATCAGTATTTAAAATAAAACTCCTCAACGAGCTTGCTGGATGCTCTTGGCTAAACCAAATCATAACCTTGGTCTACAAGTTTTCGATAGCAATACTGTATCATCACATTCCCTTGACTGATTCATCTTCCGGACACTAACATTGTAAAAAAATTCGAACCAAATTTGTTTTTTGCGTAACGTCACCTCTGTTGACCGTCAAGCAGATCAATCGAACTCCTTATTTCACTTTCCTTAAAAGAGGAGCGGAACGATTAGTAATAAAGTCAAAGATATTATCTTTACCAATTATTCCTTATTTCTCTTGAAATCATTTTTTTAAATAGCTTAATCTATGCGTGTTAAATCAATCGTAAGCTTATTTCATTACGTTTCTAGAATTTTGACTCAATGTAAGTAAAATTAAAGTTATATGTTCAATTAGCTTAACAATTTCATAAATGCTAAATCCATCAACTGCATATTTTACGTCGTCGACGCTTTCCCACGATTCACATTTTATTTATTTTATTTGCGCGAATATGCGATGAATTTCACATGTAACTCGTAAAGACAAGTATTCGAATGGGAGTAGCGACCGAAAAAAAAGCAAGAAATGATATTTTACTTAGCAATAAATGGTAAACTGTTTATTTAATTACATGGCTTTCCCGACGCCTACGCAAGACCGAAATATACCAGATCATTACAATTAAATTTTTTAAAATCGCGTAATCAAATATTAAGATTTCAATGGTAGATTAAAATTATTGATCTTGATCTTGGTTTTGATTTTGATTTTGATTCTTAGGATTATCAGGCCTAACGAAGGAAAAAAAAAATCCGATAAGAAAACTAACCAAGTCAAGAAATGAATGACACGAAGGATGATCACTCCTTGGTACTCACGAGGTTTTCCAAAGTTCCGCGACTCTTTTGAAAGCAGTTTTATGGTCCATCTCTGGATTTTCGGCCTTCACTTTTGGAAGTTCCGTCTGCATAAACCTATTATATGGCCTGATGACTTTCTCGACTAAAGGGATAAGAAGGAATGTGAATGGATATGTACAACTTCAGGTATGTCTAACGGTGCAAAGTAAAGACGTGAATTTTCCTTTTACCTTTTTCACCTTTTTCGGCGGCGCTCTTCTCGGTCGCGCTCTTTTCGGAAGTATCTTTTTTTTCGGACCTAGTTTTGGTCTTCGTAGTCGCGGTGGTGGTAGCTTTACCCATTCTTATTTTATGTGTGTATAAAGGACGTGTCGCGTTTATGGATTTAAAATATCTTGTGAAAAAAGAAATTTTTGTTTAGTTAAGTCAAAAATTATTTTCTAGACCTTTTTATATATCCCATAAATTTTTTTGATGATTTTTTCAGTGATAGACTTACCCTGTCTGAATATTCAATACGTAAGCTTCAGTCAATAAAAAGTCTCGTTATTTTGCACCTGAAAAGCTTACAAAGCGAATTATAATCTGATCATAGTCACGCGTAGTATGACCG